AGAAAAACCATCTGAATCATGTTCAGTAGTTATTTTTAAGACTGATGTCATAAAAAGCCTGGAGTTCAACCTGGCAAGCCTACTTCAGCATGACCATATTTGGCTCTCTTTCTGATGTAATGGCTTGTTGGTGAGATATCTAGTTACATAGAAGGAATCCCAAAACAGATACACAGGGAAGAAATTTGTCCTGGAGTGAGTGTGGCCTTACATATCAGGTGTCCAATTTAACAACATGTTGGGCAATAAAGGATGTGCAGTTTACCAGCCAACTGGAAAACGAATTATGACGCAGAGAACAGAACAGGCTTTATGGCTTCCCCGAGCCCAGCTCATGGTACTTTGCTTCTTGATATATTCTCTTTTTGTAAAACTGTACAAGCCACTGCTGCATCCTCTGGCCACCATATGGAGGCTAATCTTCTATTGGGTCACTGTCCATGTGACTGGGATTGTCATTCTGTATCACTTCAGCCAAAAGATGTCAAGTACAGTGCATTTCATTCTCCTTAGAAAGCTCTGGAAAGATGTGCTAGCCCCAACAGTCCGAATCCTGTGGTGCTTCCAGGCAGTAATAAGGAACTTATGCTTTTTTTGGGCTGATGCTTTACAATATTATGCTGCCAAATGGGCTCTAGGACTGCTGTTTGTACTCCTGAAACAAAGAATGTTGCCAGCTATTTCATCTACAGGGCAACAACTCTACCACTCTATGTACAATCATCCCAAGGAAAACAGTGAATTTTATCAGATAACGTTACGGCCAGTCATGAAGCAAATTGTGATCTCTCTCTTCCTGGGGTTCTTGGATGGAGTTCAAGAAGCTGCCTGCCTGTTGATAGGAATATTGAAATATGCGCTGACCCAACTTTTTAACTACAGCAAGCCCACACAGCATTCAGCCCACAAAGAGGACATTTTAGGTGATATTACCTGTGTCCTTCCACGTATCCGTGTTCCCTTGTGTGCCCGTTTTAAGGGCCCTGCCACTTCTATTCTTAAAGACATACCCCACAATTTTGCCGTGCTAAAATTTGTTGTGGCCGCAGAGCACATAGTCAGTGGACCAGGCAAGTATGGTTTAGACACCACCAATATTCCTCTGCATGAAAGATTCCAGAACAACAGAATGAAGAATGGGTTTTCTTCTGTGCAAAAAACAGATACAACTGTGAAGCGAATGAAGATGGCATGTATGGTCTTCATTGCACTCTACCTTTCCATGTTCTCCAGTGTTATAAAGACCATTAAATAAAAACAAGGTGTTCAGACTCTTATATGCTGACATATTTTTTAATGCCTTTGCCTTGGCACCAGCACTGTGGTTTTTCCTGGTTCTATGGGGATATATGCATGCTTTTAGCACACAGCTGCAAAGAACTTCACTTCCTCATGTATTCTGTTAACACTAATTAGCTTTAGTCTTAGGAACTAATTAGCTTTAGTCTTTTCTATGTAATATTTTCAAGAAGGATTCTGAGGGAAAAAAGTACTTTAAGAATTAAACTTCTAGATAACTCCATTCTTAATGGCATATTAATATGAAGGAATTAAAATAAAAATTGTTTAGCTTACACGTATTGACTGTGTTCACAAAACACAAAGGAATATGTAGGGTTTTTTGGTTTTGGTTTGCTGTGTTGTTTGAATGGACTCATGGTAGTTTTTAAAGTGTGATGTATTGCCTAGCGTGAAGTGTGAGCCCAGTGTTTTGTGGATTGTTAGGCAAACCATAGTTTACTGGCCTTGCAAGCACAGACATTGACAGGATTTAAAGACTGCAGTAACCTAAAGTATGGTTTATGGTGAAAGGGGAAAAAAAAACAAGTTTAGAATGAAACATGAGTGAAGCAGTCACAGCAACAGGATATCATCTTACATTATAAAATAAAATACTTACAACATCATCACATTATCTTCCTTATAATAAAATTTAGTGTACAAAACCAATGTGGCATTTATCAGCAGTATCCCTGATTGTTGTTCGATATAAATGTCATCCACTGATTTTAACAGATTTTTTTTTGATAAGTCATTACATATTATTCTGACTGTCAGGATTTGCTGTTTCATAACCATTTTTTTGTAGCCTAAGTCCACAATCCTACTACTCTACATTCTTATAATGCACTTCTATACATTTTACAGTACAGTACCACATGCTGGCTGGAAATTCAGGGAGATGCACAATTCATCTGGAGGACACCAGACTGAGGAACACTGCTTTATACTGAACACAATTTTGATATCTATTGCTGCAGATAGTAAGGGACGCTATTTTAATTAATACCTCATATACTTGGTATAATATACTGTTACTTGCCAATGCAGGTCAGCAACCTTTTTAAACCAGTACATACATCATGGATTTAACAAAATACACATATTGCATTAAACCATAATGTAGTTTTTGGAGGGCTTAGCATGTTATGAACCCAGCCAACTGTGACTTTCTGAACAAACAGTGGGTAACTAAATTATGGCTTTTCCATATGAGTGAACTCAGCCTATTTTGTGGATGCTCTTACAAAATGACTGCTATGAACAAGTTTTCCTAGATAGATGGATTTTATTTCAAAAAAGACTGGACTGCAAGATCCCCCATTTTATTTTTTAAATTGCTAATTTCTATTATATAAACCTAACTTATACCATAGTCCTCTGAAGGAATGTCCTGATCCTGTAATTAAATGTTAAATTCACAGCACTACTTTGAAAAAAATCTGAATTAACTCATTATTTACCTCCTTGTTATTAGTAAGACTTGGGTAAATGCCTCCAGTTGTGCAATAGGGAAATATTTCAGAGCATGGCTCAGCCTTAAAACATAGGCTGATATTAAAGCAGATATCAAGGATAAGACTGCCAACTTCTATTCACCCAGATAAAGCTTTTCCAAGTATACAGGTAAGTGGTTAAAAGCAATTACAATGAAAAATACAGGGGCAAAGTATGTACAAATTAGCAGTCCCATTCAGAAGGCAGCAACTTTTTTCTTGTAGCTATAGAACTGTACATTTAACACAGCTGATAATCACATACAAACTATGCTTAATAAAACTAATCACAGTTTAGATTCTTATATATAAGTTTATTAGTTTTCAGAATGGGACAGGTAAGAATGGTAGACCATTTCTTGCAACATTCTAATGCTGCTATTGCTTTATAGAACAAATAGTGACTGGATGACAAATCAAACTGCTTTGTTTATCCCCAGTTTTGCAACTTTTTCAGCACTTTTATCTACAAAATGTTATCTGGTTAATCTGGTACTCCCAGGGCCATCAGAGAGTTCTCCTAGAGGTGTAACATTTATTTGCATTTTCATAGCTGTTCTCAGCAATCCAGATGGGTATCTTCAAGGTTTGTAAGCAGGACACATATTGTCATCTGCAACAACTTAATTATCTTTTCCTTTCTCCTAATATTTAAGATCTTCCAGAAATGGGTTCTATATTATGATTTTATAAAACAAGAGCATGCACAAAACTGTTTTGCTTGATTGTTCCAGAGCTAGTGAAATTCCAGGTGTCAAAGAGTTTTAGCTAATATAACTTCTCATTATTTTATTTAAACTACCTTTTAAAGGCTTCCGGTAGGTTGGAAATACTACACTATTTTTTTCCACTAATTGTAAAAGATAAACCCATTTCAGTTTAATGTTGCATGACCAATTAGCTAACTGGTTTTTCAGGGTCATTCTAATACCTCAGCAATTATCTGCTGAACTGAATGATGAAACCAAAATTATGCAAAACACTGCTGAGCCAAGTTCAGCCTTTCTGCTGTTACATAGGGTCACAGATTGGCCAGTCTTTGCCACCACTGATGTTGCAAATGAACAAATATATACAATGGCCAGTATGTTTCTAGAAATGATTTTGGTTGCCAGTTATTTTTGGTTGCCATTGTTATTTTAAGTCTGCTATTTTCCTTAAGGTTGCTCAGTGACTGCCCTGCCATCTAAAAATTCTGCAAGTAGCAGAGTTAAAAATCTCTAACACTGCAATCCTGTGTTCTTACTGGGAAATAAGTTCCACTGAATTCCGCAGTTGTTGTTTTGGATCACAGTATCACACAGAGAGATGACAGAATGAAGAGGCAATTCCTCCCAAAGTTCTCACAGGAAATGGAATCTACAACTGCATGATACCCTTTTTAGGATTAACTAAAGTGACACAAAAGGCCCCACATTCTTTCAAGTTCTCCAAAGCTCTAACAGGCTAATTGCTACAAAAAATGGTACACAACGAGGTCTGCCTGGTTAAAAGTTCTAGAGAACTCAAAAGCTTGTACAGTGACACTATTTTATGTTATTTTGTCATGAAGGTCTCACCTAGCCGTGAATTGTTTTTTTCTTTTAGCCCACGGGCTATCATGGCTGATTGCTTTCTGTGTGTAAAAGGACTGTACAGAATCATCCTAGACTACCAGTCCTCTCTTTTTAAGCAACGATCGAGTTCATTATTCACACCATCATATCAGACTAACTTGGAGAATGGGTTGACTGGCGTTTTAGAATACAAGAGAGACTGACCATGAAAAGTGGTCTCCAATGTAAAATCAAACGGCATCACACATGATAGCAAAAGTTATACCCAATACCGTGTAATAGTGCCAGAAGACCGGTACCCAAGCGCACATACGTGTTTAATTATCATCCCCGCGAAGAACAGCGCAAACCTGTCCATGTGTATCGAGGAGAAAGCCCGTTCAGTAGTACACGGTGTACTGAACAGGAGGGCTGCAGTTCCTCCCTAAAGTAGGCTCTGGGCCCGAAAGCGCCTCGTTAAGAAGCCGGCATTCCCTGGAAAGGCCTCCACCGCCGACGGAAGCGAAGCTCTGCAGCGCCCTCCCCACCTTCCCCCGCCCTCCAAGTTGCTAGGATGGAGGGCGCACGTAAGCGCGCGCCGCCGCTAAGACTTGCGGCCGTCTCTCGACTGCTGCGAAGCGGGAGCGCGCCTCGCTCGCTTGAGCAATAGGTGGGTTGCTTTTCCCAACCCAGCCTTAGTTGTCGCCAGCGAGTCTCTCTTCGTTCAGCTGGACAAGTAAGGCAGTGAGCAAGAAGCGAGGCCGGGGCTGTCAGGCAGAACTAACTCCCAACCTGAACCTCCCGACATCGCACGCGCCGCGCTCCAGCTCGGCACCGTCCCCCCGCTGACCCTGCCTTCTCTCTGCGGGGTGCGCTCCTCGCTGCTGGAAGGCGCCGGCTGCTTTCTTTCCTCTCGCTGAGCATCCCCGGCGCAATAAACTTTTATCACCGAGGGAATAGCTGAGAGAGAAGGCAGCTCGGCAGGTCTTGCCAGCGGGCTGCTCTGAGGATGGAAGCGGGCGCGTACGGAGCTGGCAAAGCTGGAGGCGCCTTTGACCCTCAGACCTTCATCCGGCAACCTCACACGATCCTCCGGATAGTTTCTTGGGTAAGGAGGCGCCCCTGGAGGCCATCAGGTTATGAAGGCAGGCTGAGTTTTTCAGCTCGAGGGCAAGTCCAGCGCGTTCAGAGCCACCTGAACGCTTGGAAATCCTTCTCCAAATGTGGCGTAGATGGCTCGTTTGCCGAGAGCCGGGCTGGGAGCGGTTCGGGTGCGAATGTAAGCAAGCCTGGCCTGAAGATTTAAGGGGGAGCCGCGCGAGCAGGAGCCATTGACATTAGGTGGGCTTTAAGCCATGTCCTTCCTCATGTGGGCGGGCGCGAAGCACCTTATGGAGGCGATTAGGGATGCCCGGTGTCGCTGGTTGGATTGCAAAGGCCACGGACTAGCTTGATCGCCTTCCTCTTGAGGATCCTGTAAGGCGAAAAAGAGCTCTGGGGCTTGGGCGAGCGGCAGAATGAGACGGCACTTGGTGACCTCTAAGATGGGAGGGACGCGGATCATCCCCCCAGCTCCGGCCGCTGCCTCCCTTTCTGTTTTCTGTCGTTTCTGCGGTCAGCCCCTAGCAAGAGTTGTTGCGGTGAGGTGCAATGTTTTTAAACGGATGCTTGTGTATGCGGACCCAGCCAGCAAGTGGTATGAAGGATGCAAAATAGCACGGTCCCCCTCTTCTTTCCATCACCTAGAAATCAGCCTCAATGATTTTGTATTTGGGAAAGAAAATGGCAAAACTTTTATTTCTTTTGAACATTGGGATCTGTCCTTTCCCTCTCTCAAAAACTTTTTTAAACAGATGATTCAACTGGTTTCCCCACCCTTCAAGCTGACACTGCAATTAATTTTGATCAAAACAAGGAACACAGACAAGTTTTACATATGAAGGATCTGTGGGGAATTAAGAGAGTGATGGTGAATTTTCTGTCCTTTGTGAACCCCACCCTCAATTTCTTAGTTTCCTGTTTTATTTCTTTTTCAACATGTGCAAGGAGAATTGGGGATAAAGAAGTGAAGAGGGGAAAGATACGAGGGTTGAAAATGTGTGTATTTCTCCAAATCCTCCTTCTATCCCCATAGCTTCAATTTAAATACTCCTTCATCCTATAGCAATTTTTATGTAAGAGCTGTAAATGTGATGGAGAAAGTGATGGAGATACAACCAGCCAGCTCAAGGGGAAGAATTCCTTCCTGTACATGTTTTTTTCCCCCTTTTGGAATGGCTGAAACAGGGAGGTCATTCCATCTTGTGACACTTTGCCAAGGCTGCCTATGCGCCTATAGTGTTTGCAAGAAGGTCATTTAGATTAGGAGAGCAAACTGCAAACAGAAATCTAGAGAAAGCATTGTCTCCTGTGGATGTCACAAGGAGAAAATGAGGACACCGGGAAGAAATCACAGAAATGGGATGGCTTCCTCCCCCTCCCCCAACTGATCAAGGAAGGCAGACTGGGCTGAGGTTGCACAGATATGGCACAGGGCCTGGCTACCTGAGAGACTGCTTATCTCCAATTGTTTCTGCCCGCTCAGTATGCTCCAGCAGAGTCCATTAAATATTGCTCCAGGTCCCCTCCATTAAATATTGCCATCCTATGGGATGGAGGAAGCGTGCCTTCTCTGTCACAGTCCCCGCCCTCTGGAACAGCATCCCCCAGAGATAAGGTTGGCCCTCTCTCTCCTAGGGTTCCAGAAAGCCTTGAAAACCTGGTTTTGGTCCCAGCCTGGGGTTAATGTTTGTCATCGTTTAATGGCCCCTCTTTTGTTTTGTGGGTTTTGTTAGCAGAATATTCTGTTGATTTAGTGATTCTCGCTGTTTTTCAGTTTTGTACGCTGCCCAGAGTCCACTGGAGTTGGGCAGCCAATAAATTTAAATGTAAAAATAAGTAAATATACGGTAAGCATAGCCTTTTACTTGTCACCCATTCATATCTTCAGTAGGAACGTAAGTCTGTTTTCCTGTCTAGTCCATTCCTTATGGGAGTTTTCCCATCTTTTCCTAGAGATAACAAGGACTGAACCTGGGGCCTCTTGTTTGCAAAGCCTCTCCTCTGCTATTAATTATGAGCCATAACTTAAGGATGCAGCAGCCAAAACGACCAGTGCAGTCTTGGGCTGCATTAACATTAGCATTGCATCCACATGACAAGAGATGGTGGTTCCTGTACTTTGCATTGATTATACTGCACTTGGAGTATTGTGTCCAGTTCTGGGTGCTGCCTTTTAAAAGGGCCACGGAGAAGCTGGAGCAGATTCAGAGGACCGAGGAGTGTTTAAATTCCAAACTAGAAGACTAGGGGAGATATGACTGTTCTACAATATCTAAAAGCTTGTCATGTGCAAGAGTGGGTAGACAGTACTTTGTGGAACAGAGGATCAAGGAGCAATAATTGGACATTAACAGAAAAACAATTCATGCTGAACATTAGGAGGAATTTATGAAGATAAGAACTGTTAAGCAATGGAGCAGTTTGCTCCGAAAAGTAGTAAAGTCTTCCTCGTGGAAAGTTTTCAAGCAAGGGTTGGATGGCCATCTGACACTGATGGTTTAGAGGATTCCTTCTCTGACTATGGAGTTGGCTAGATGGCCTATAAGGTCCTTTCCAACACATGCATTCAGCGATGTTTATTTTTTGGAAGACTACTTACTCCAATAAGCTAGTATTTGCCACTCATTTTCCCACAAGCCTTTCCTGTGCTTCCTGTTTGCACATGAATGTGGGAAGTATTGGAAGAAAGGGGAGGGAGGGGTTATGAATGAAAAACTGTAGAAATCCTAGCAGATTTCTATAGATAATTAATGTGGCCAGTAGGAATGGGTCTATCCAAGGATATTTTACAGTACAACATGTTTACTGTTCTTATTAGAAGCTGGAAGGCAGTTGGCTCACAACTGCCCCTGAAATTCAACATGAAGTGATAGGAAGAACCTTTTGTTGCATGAATGTTTGAAACCTGCATGAGGCAAAGTGACAGACAGCCCAGGTGACAACACAGCAGTGGTCAATTATGATTGACATGTTGTGCCCTAAGATGGATGTTTCAGTTCTTGAGAATCTAGGACAGAACGTTCTCTGCTTTAAAGCTGTAACTTCATTTCATTACTGCAGGGCTTCACTAAGTCAAGAAGAGTTTCTGCAGCATATTGCTTTCTCTCTCAGAATGCCACTTGCTGACTTTCCTCATGAAATAAACTCCCAGTTGCAGAAAGATGCTTAGCATCCTTTTTTAATTTTCCCCTTGGATGTGTCCCTGTTTCCCCAGAGTCATTAACTGCATATTGTACCTTGACCTTGGAAGTGACTTTGATAGGTCTCTTTTCTTGCTATAGTAGTGTTGGCTTGATAAACAAGTGAGTTGCAGAATAGCAATAACATTTTCAGGCCATCCTCTGCATGTTTATCTGGGATGAAGTACTCTTGAGTTCAGTGGGCTTATCCAAATCACATGGTTATAGGACAGACATTTCATAAATTGGAGCACAAGCTTAGAGGAACAAATCAGAGAAATGGCTAGTGAAATACAACCATTTTCCTTCTTTTTCGATTTTCTTTTCTCCTTTATGGTAATTCAACTTTTCTCCTACTCGCTTTAGCTACCATGCTGTTGGTCACAAATTTACAATCAGTGCAAATTTAAGCATATCTACTCATAAGTCTCAGTAAATTGAATGCAACTTGCTTCCAAGCAGATATGTATAGGATTGTACTGCTCATTTTAAAATTATATCAATATTATGAAAAATTACTGATTTATTTAACATTGCATGTCTAAAAAAAAAAAAAAAAGGCCACAGCTATCCATTCAGAATTGTTGAACAAATGAAGTGCAAAATAGTAATTTTATTATATTTTTAGAACTATAGTACAGTGGTGGCCTACGTAGAATTTGTATCCTATGTACTGTCTCTAGAGTTTGCAAATTCTTTTATTTGTTTCCCTGCATTGCTAGTGTAGTGAACTAAAGCATTAAAACTAATGAGAGCTGAGAATGAGTTTATTTATAACAGGGTACAAAAAGTATAGCCTGAAATCATATGCAATCAACCAGCATCCCTTTAGTGCCCCGAAAACCCAACAGAGTGATGGGAGCCAAATATTTGGGTTCCCTTTTGCCTTTGTGGCAGCTTTGGGGAGAGCTGGGGAGGGATTACCTCTTCAATCTTTCAGAAGAATACATACTAACACTCTCTTAGTAATAGATAGACTTGGGCTAAATGTAGGAAGCAGGAGAAGACAATCTTGGTTGGTTCAAAGTATTCAATTTTCCAGAACAGCTCATTACCTTGAATCCAATTATTGTAGTAACAAGCAGATAGAGAATGAAGGTGTTAAGTCTGATGATGATTAAAAACCAGCTTATAATATGTGGCCTATTAGATGATGGACTTTCAACTAAAATGTATTAACTTGAACTAAATTGACAACATGTTTATAGCAGGGCTTCTTTGGAAAACCCGTATACCAAATTTAAATTAGAGAAAGCCTTTTCTGTGATGTTGGAGTTTTGCCAATTATTCAGTTGTGAAACACACAGGAGTCCCATAGGAATAACATTGTTGTGCTAAATTAAGTAGCTAAAAACATCATTGATTTGGGTAAGATCACTTTAGGTATGTTTAGTAAACATAACTAGGACCAGACAGCAAAATATCTTCTCTTCTCTTCTCTTCTCTTCTCTTCTCTTCTCTTCTCTTCTCTTCTCTTCTCTTCTCTTC